ATATTCCAGGGGTAGCTCGCAGGGCAGAACTGGGCGCCCAGCGCAGCGGCCAGCACCTCGGTGAGCCCCCGCCCGCGCGCGTTCGAGCGTTCATCGGGGGCGCCGATCAGTCGCCAGCAGAGTATCGGCATGGCCAGCTTCGACAAGCTGAGCGAGTTCAATCAGCACCTGTCGGCGATGGAGTGCGAGGGCCGCACGGGCGTGGCGAAGTTCGCGAAGCTCGACAGTTGCGGCGACCGGCAATGGAAATAACTCCCCGGTAATTTCCCGGCTTCGCTCGCGACCCTGAATCAGCAGGGGCAGATTCTCAGGGCGTTGCAATTTCTCTTCAGAGAGCAACGAGCCGCATGGCGACGGCGCTGGAGACAGAGTCCCCAGCAGCGAAGACACCGTCTAGTTTTGTTTCGATGTCCGCGACCGTTGCTTCGCATTGCTCAGTGGACCAGCGGCCGCGTGCCAGTGCAAGGCGAGAACCGCTTGCGTCGCCAATCGGATCCAAATTCATACAGCCGCCCGAGCATAGAACGAGATCTGGTTCCTGTGCATCGACGAGGGCCCAGAGGCCCTTGAGAAGTATTTGGCCAAGGCTTACGACTGAGTCCAGTAGATCTCAGAGGTCATCGCCTTCCAGATTTTAGAGGCCATTGAGGAGACTTTCGACGCCGCCCCTGGCTGCCCCCTGGAGGTTCTCATAGGTCCAGTAGTAGACAAGGAGAGGTCCCTATGGCCGTTGGGATGCTCAACGCTCTTCGCATGCTCAGGGAACCCCGAGGGCTCGGCGAGATGGGGGGCGCTGCTCCGTAATGGGCGCGCGCAGGATGTGTTCGACGAAGGGGGTGAGGTTTTCCCTCCTGCGGGCCTGTTCTCGGGCAGCTCGTGCCCGCGTCCTTTGCCTTTGGCAGTGTGGCAGTTTGCGTTGTAGTGTTGGGGCCAGTGCTTCGGGCGCTTGGGATCAGAATTCTGGGATAGTTTCTGGGCCTTTTGGAAGCTTACGCGGGCCAGCCGGGCCCCGGCGGAGTGCATCTCTTCTTGCAAAGTCGGGTGGGCCGTGAATTGGCTTGGGCGCGATCCCGCGTACCTGAAACACAGCAGTGGGCATGTTCAAACACGTATTTCGAATCCGGGCGCGCTAGTTTGCGGGCCACATGCGCGCGCGCCCAGCGCAATCGTTCAATAATACTTGGTGTTCGAATCATGCCAGAGGCGAGTTCTTCAAGTAACAAGTTTCGCTCGCAGGAAACGCACGTCATCTGCAAGGTCCTTTGCACGCGCGCCAGTACTCATCGAACCCATTGCCAAGATGCGCGCACGATGTCGCCAATCTGCATGGCTTCTGAGGTGATTATGTGGCACAGTTTGTGCGATGCCCTTGCCGTTCTCATCGCCCAGTTCCCTTCGCGGCCTATGGTGTTGAGGATGGGCCTTCTAATGCGAGCGGATGCAACGGAATGCCGCCTCATGGTTGGCATGTGCGAGTGGGTGTGGTCGCGCTCCGCCCTCGCAGGTGATCATGTGTAAGCCGATGTAATTGCTGCTTTATGACATCTACTGTCCACCAGGAACCCTACCAGCTGGAGCTGGCCCTCGGGCCTGAGGTACCAATGCCCATTCCATTTTTTCAATAGTATGTGGTGATCAGTCGTATCCGCCCAAGGCGCGACCTTGAATATCACAGTATGCGGTGATCACCGCGGTATTGCGACTGGTGAAACATCAGAAAACAGCGTCCGCCATATCTGGTTCCAGCGCGGTGTTTTTTCAATGAAGCTTTGCGGTGGGCGTTTTACGATCCAGATTGCGAGACAAAAAATGTGCACGGCGTGTCGCATGTGCTCGTCCGCGCGAGCAAGGCAACGAACATGCGAACGACATGTGTGTAGCTTTTCGACATTATATTCTTCTCCAACACACTATGATCACACACGCATGATCCAGCCAACCGAATTCCCAGCGCGCGCCAATGCGCACCAACCCAGATGCGTGCATGAGCCCATCAATCCAAACGGCCTTTTGAGCGTCTTCGGCGACCAAGCAGATGAGATTTCCACATGGTGACAACAACGTGTGCGGTACGGGTTCTTTTGGCCATCTAGGGCCGTTTTGGCGCGATTGGCTTAGCAGGGACAAAGCTTTATTCAATCGCTTCGCTCATTCCGCCGGCCCAAATTGCAGCATCACTGGCGCTTGCCTGCGTGCCCGGGGGGTATTTGGGGGGCCTCCTGGGGCCGGTTGGGGGGCCTCTTGGGGGCATCCTGAGGGCTTCTGGGGGGTCTCTTGGGGCTTCTTAGGGGCCTCTTGGGACCTCTGGGGGCTTCTTGGGGCCGAGGGCTGGAAATGTTGGTTCGTGTTCCCCCTCTTGGGGCGTTCTTGGGGCCCTCTTGGGCCGTCTTGGAGACCTCTTGGGCCGTCTTGGAGCCCTCTTGGGCCGTCTTGGGGCTGTCTTGGGGGCATCTTAAGCCCTCTTGGGGCGATCTTGGAGTCGTCTTGGGCTGTCTTGGGGCTTCGGGAAGCGGAAAAGGTGGAAAAGCCCAAATATGTCCAAAACCTAAGGAAAAGTAATGAATTTTGCCTCTTGGGGCCCTCTTGGGAGTACGCTTGGAGACCTCTTGGAGCGTCTGGGGGCCATCTTGGGCGTCTTGGAGCGATCTTGTGGCATCTCGGACGCCTCGTGTACCATCTTGGGGACCTCTTGCGGGCCTCTTGGTTTTGTTTGGGTCCTCGGGGACGTTTTCGGAGCCCTGTTGGTGCGCTCGTGGAGCGCTCGGGGGGACCCGGCCGGGGACCGGCCGGGACCTGGTCGGGGTATTTTTCGTCTGGGGACCCCCAGGGGCCGCCCCGCGCGCGCGAAGTAGAAACATTGTAGAGCAGTTACCGGAGATCTTAGCACGCCTCTGGCCCGTTGGGCCGGCGAATTACCGTCGGGGGGGTGGGTGAGTGCGGTTGCGCTCCGCAACAAGCCATAGTGTGCGATGCTGTGCAAGACCAGAAAGCACTGGCCACGACCAGAGACCACGACCAGAGACCATGGGCCATCACCGGAGACCGCGATCAGGGAACAGCGACCACGGGCAACGACCAGAGACCGCGACCAGAGACCACGGGCCACGACCAGAAACCACGGGCTACGACTTCTTTGTCCACGACCAAAGACCGCGGGCCACGGGTTCGGGATGTGGCAATCCACCCCCCGCGGCCCACTTGCAAACAGACCGCTTACGGAATCGCATCCTCGGATGTCTGGCAGGGCGGTCCAGGGCGCTCCGCCCCTTGCTGGGCCCGGAACGCCCCATGGGGCGTGGCGCCGAGGGCGTTGCCGGAGCCGCCCCGGAGCGTCCTCGGAGGGGCCGCCAGGGCCGGCCGAGGCTGGCGCTCGACCGAGGCCTCAGGAGCTCTGCGTTTCCATCCGCCCCTCAGACTTGGGCGTCGCAGTTTTTTTCCGCTCCTGGCGTTTTCGCCGAGCCTCGGGCCACGAGCGCCTCGCAGAAAGGCCCAGTACGATACCTGCTGCGGTGAGCTGGGGGCGAAGTTTCCGATCGTGCCTTTTTCCGTTGTGTTTGTTGGTCGCGGCGTCCGGTCCCAGGGGGGCGGTGTCCCTGGAGGTCCCCTCCCGCGGGGCCCGCCCTCCGCCCCTGCCCCAGGACCCCTCAACAGCCACCCGCGCCGTGAAGGAGCCTCTGCCTTTGTTCCGTGCCACGGCGTCGGGGGTGCGGAGGAGGAGGAGGAGGAGGAGGAGGAGGAGGAGGAGGAGGAGGAGGAGGAGGAGGAGGAGGAGGAGGAGGAGGAGGAGTCGAGGCACGGGGCGGGGGGGGTCCCTCCACAGCCCCAGTCCCAGAACAGATAGCAGTGCGAACCCCCGCCGTGCCTGGCCAGGGCCAGTGTGGGCACCAAGATGGCCATGCAATCGATCCCACGACCCCTCCCGCCGGGGGTCCATCCTGGCAAGTCATTCACCCTTGGTGGATGTTTTCCGGTAGTCCGCGGCCCGAAACATGGTTCCAGCATGCTAGCATTGCGAGAGAGAGCAGCGAACCTCGAACCTCCTCTTCAGTGGCCCCTCCTGGAAGGTTGGCTTCAGTATCGGCACTGGTATTTCCTTGGGTCTGCCCCGGCCGAATCAAGCGCAGGCTGGCTTTATCGCCGCCCAGTCTGTTTTCGTAGCTCCTTGCTCAGGCCTGCTGTTACTCAGCTCCTCCCACGACCCCCCCCCCCCCAGGAGTTGCCTCCCAGCCTCTCCCGCGACCTCTTGCGAACCCTACCCCTGCGGGCCCCACTGACGATTGGGCATCTCGATCGCAGGCCTATAGGTTGACACCAACACCAATATCGGCGGTGTTCCCCCACCGCGGGAAGAAGATCCCGATCTCGGTGATGGTGGTAATATTCTGGCTTCCAAGGTGACCGAACTACTAGCACCAACACCGAAATCTAGGATCATCTCCCCCCTGTGGAGGCAGCCCCCTGTCTTGGTGTTGGTGCCAATTCCCAGGCCTCCAAATCTCGGACCTCTCTGCCGGGGGCTCGCGTGACTCAGAGCGTGAATTACCTACCCCGCTTTCGCTTCCAGGCAAAACCAAGCCATACCACGCGCCTCCTCGTCAAGCGGCCTGACCAGTACAGGCTGCAATTTGGCATCGTTTGGTATCTCCTGGAAGCGAGGGTGGTCAAAAGCGAGGTAGGTTTGTTTTCCCCCTAGTGACTGCAGACGTCCTTCCTGCCGTGAGCCCCCGACGGCCTTTCCGGGAACCCGAGCGGCAGGGGCGGGGCCCACGCGAGGCTGCCCGGACCCCGCGGTGCGTGGGCGCCCTCCTCGCCTCCGCGTGCCCCAGTGAGGGGCCTGCTTTCCACCACCATCATGAGTTGGAGGGGGAGGGGGTCGTCGTCCTCCTCCTCCTCCTCCTCCTCCTCCTCCTCCTCTTCGTCCTCCTCCTCCTCCTCTTCCTCCTCCTCCAACTTGTGGTGGTGGTGGTGGAAAACGGGCCCATCACCCAGAGCGCTGCCAGCCGGAGGACATGGAGCTCAGCGACAGCCCCGCTCGCGCCCCGCTGGGGACCCTGAAGCTTCTGGCCTCGCTCGTGGGCGAGGCGGTGCTGCCCCCGCGGAGGTTTGGTGCGCAGGATCGCGGGGGGGGAGGGAAACGAGGATCAGAGCTGGTCTTAGATCGGGCATGTCCCTCTACAGAAGGAATGTTCAAGAATGGTAAGCATATAGTCTTGGGACGATTTTTCCATTCTGTTGTAGAATATGTTTGAACTATTTCTTATTCTTCGCCCGGAATCCGCCTGTAGGGGGACATGCCCGACCTCAAGCTGGTCAAGACAGGGGGTCTTTCGCTGCGTCTGGCCTCCAATCGGGCCGAACAAAAGGGGGGGGGGGAAGGGGGGGGGTTACGAAATCTGCTGCATGCAGCTGGGCCTTCCGGCGCCGGGAGGCGCCGGGAAAGTCAGCTGCACGAGCTGATTCTCCCCCCCCCTTTGCTATCCCCCCCTTGTGCCCAGCCCGATCCCAGCCAGGGTCGATGATCTCCCGACATGTTCTAGCGCAAGCGACGGGTTTCTCCAGCTCGGTTTTGCCGATGGCGCGCAGCCGGTGTCGACCCTGGCTGCGCCCGTTGCGGCGCACTGCAGGGCTATCGGAGGACGAGCACACGCTGGCGCCGACACCTGTTCCGAGGATCATCGAGAGGGAGTCCTGGGGCCCCAAGACCGCCTCGGAGGTTGATCGACCTCCTACCCGGACACGTCGATTCAGGAAGTGGCCGTTTTCGGTACGCGAGAGGGCGTCGCGGCCGTCGGTTTTGCGGGTCCAGGTCCGTCGGTTTCGGGCCCAGGCCGTTTTCACTACGGGGAGGTTTGCTAAAGGGGGGTTTGTCCACCGCCGACCGTCGAGGACAGACTTGGGTCCGAGAGCGGGCCGGGGGGAAGGGGTCGGGCCCAGCAGCCCGGGCACCAGTGCGCTAATTAGTCGAAGAGAAGCAGATCGGCAGACACGCCTGGCGCGGGCGCCTCCGCCGCGCGCCACCCGCCAGGGTGGGGGGGGTTCGGCAGCAAGTCATGGGAGCCTTGCCCGTCCTCGCAGTTCGGTCTCTGGAGTGCACCCGTGTGGGCTGGCGTGTGGCAATCGATGAGGGAGCGCCGATTTGGCGTCGGTTAGCGCCGATCTGCAGGGCTCAGCAGGATGACGTGGGAGGCCCCGATGCGTTGCCACAGGAGGGGGGGCGGTCCAGCGCCGATGCCAAAAAATCCGCGCGGGCCTACGAAAGTTAGCGCTTATTATATTTCAGCGTTCATTGTATTTCTTATCCTAGAGCCACCCTGACGCGGGCGCGAAGATGACCGCGTCATGCCCTAGCCCAGTGCGCCAGGTCACCCGCGTGGGCGCGAAGCTGACCGCGTCTCGCGCGGCGCGGCCTGGGCCGGAGAGCGTGCACTTCTTCGAGGGGGGGGGAGGGCGGCGTGAGGGCTCGGAGATGCTCACGCGTCGCGCCTCGCGGGGCGTGCTGCGCGAGGTTATGCTTATGTCGGGCGTGTCCCTCTACATGGGGATTTTCAACGAAGAATAAAAAATACCCCAAAAATGCCCCCCAAAGGTCAACAAGTGCTCAGAAAATAGTCCCCAGACTATTTTTGGACTATGTTTGGACTATGTTAGGGGTCTTCTTTATTTTCCGTCTAAAATCCCCCTGTAGGGGGACAGGCCCGACTTAAGGTTAGGCGACCTACAGCTCGGCGTTTACAAAAAGCGCCTCAGTGGTGTGAGGTGTCTGGCGGACGTGAGCAGGGGTGCAGTACAGTCGTGGCGCGGTGGTGTGAGGTGCCTGGCGGACGCGAGTCGGGGCGCAGCACAATCGTGGCGCGCAGGAGCTGCCCTGGAGTGGACCTGGAGTGCCCTTGGACTGCCACCCCCGCGCCCAAGAGGTGCCGGAAGAGTTCACCCCCCTCCCCTTCTGTTGATTTTGCCGCCCCCCTCCGATGCCGTCTACAGTCGGGGCCCTGAAGAAGGAACCCTTTTCGTTGGGGAGGGGCTCCGCGTTCCTTAAGTGGTTCACAGCTTGCCTCAGGTTTTCCTGGTGTTCTCGATCGGAAATCGAAGTTCAACTTATGGAAAAAAGAGGCCTCGTTCCTTATTTAGGGTTCCTTAGGTCAACGCCCCGACTGTACTCCAGGGTGGTCGTTGTGCTGGTACCCCTTCCGCCCTCTGCACAGGAGGTCCCCGCCGCGGTGACCAGCACGGCCAGCAGCTCGCACGGGTCGTCCTCGCCCTCCTGCTCCTCCTGCTCTTCCTTCTCCTCCTTGCTCCTCCCCGTTCCTCCTCCTCCTCCTCCTCCTCCTCCTCCTCCTCCTCCTCCTCGTGTTGCTCCTCTTGCTCCGCGGTGACGAAACGCCTCCCAGAGGCCCAGAAACACAAGACCACGCCAGAGAGCATGGAACGGCGAGCCTCCTCCTCAGCCTCCTCCGCCTCCGCATCCTCCTCTCGCGCGTCAGCTGGTGAACGCCAGGCTGCGGGCAGATTCCCGCCGCTCGCCGTGCATCAGGAGGCTGTTGGCTGGTTGGCCTCTCTCTTCTCTCCTCTGCCGGTTCTTCTTTTCATTGATTTGTATTTCTTATTATTATGTTTATTTCTCGTATCGTTTTTTCTTCTGATTCCCCGTGTTTGCACTTAGGGGTTCTTACTTGGCTTAACCATCTCGGGGCGAATGGCGGCTTTTACGGGTGGTGCCGCCCGTCACCACCGTCGCCGTCGCCGTCGCCGTCCCCGCCGCTCAAGGCGAGCGGCGGCTCTTGCGGCATCGGCGGTGCGGCGAGATGCGGAGCCCGACTTTCTCCTCTGCGCCGACGGCGCCGATGCGTCGCCGACGTCGCCGATGCGGCACGATCCTCCGACCCCATCCATCCTCAGAGGAGGAAATGGTACCCATACCGCTACCTTTCGCCCGTTGTCCCCCGTTTGGGCCTCCTCGGAGGCCTTGGTTGCCACCGCTGGATTCTCTTCGAAATCCTGGTCAGACCGCACCCTGGGAGAGGTCTGGGGAGTAGCGGTATCGATACCGATTGGTTTCCCCACATTCTGGCCCCATCTGGGAGGCCTCCAGCAGCTCTAGCAGCGCGTTCGCCTCCTTCGGCGGTTGAGCCTGGCCCGCCACAGTCTGCCGAGCCCCGCGCGCGAGGGCGTGCACAAGTTCGGCTGCACGTGCCCGCCGTTCTCGTCGCCGGGGTCGTCGAGCTGCGCCGCCGCGGGCGCGCCCGCTTTGAGACCCACTCCTCCATGTTGCCGAGCCGCCCGCGCCTGCACCCGACTGCACTGGCGTCGCGGTTCCAGCAGCACCGCCGAGAGGGTCCGGTCGGGAACTTTTGGGTAGCGCGTCGCGCTGCCGGTTCTGGCCCACGATACGCTTCGGAGCGACGCGCCATCCGCGTCCCGGCCCCCAGGCGTCCACGCCCCGAGCACTTCCCAGCCTCCCGCCCAGCGGAACGGAGCGACAGCGACACGCTGTCTGCTTGCGGGGGATGGCGTGTCGCTGGGGCCGTCGCCGGGACACGCTCAGCACGAGTTCGCGACTAGGGGGCACATCCAGCATATCGTCGCGTGGCGGCACTTCGTCCCAAAGGTTTCGCTGGCGCCGCCGCAGCCTGCTGCGCTCTCGCACCATTCGGCAGTCGCGCCTCGCCAGCCACAGCTTGCAGAACCTCGTGCGCGAGGTCGTGCACACGTTCGGCTGCACGCGCCCGCGGTCCACCTTCCCAGGTCCACGATCGCTTCGACCTCGGGTTGCAACTGACGGCCGCAGGGACAGGTTCTCCACTGCATGGTGAGCGTGCATGCCCTCGTCCTTTGCCGGTAGCTGCGCCGCCAGGCGCCAGCCCGCCTGGAATCCGTCACCAAAAGTGCCCGCCAGGGCCGCCACTGGCGGCGGCCATGCACCAGGCGCACACGCGATGGGCTGCACTACACGCTCATCATCTCCATCATCTGCACGCGGCACACCAAGCGCGTGCAGGAGAGCGTCGACAGCACCAGGAGCATCCTCGGCAGCTCGAGCAGCCACACAACCAGCACGAGGAGCACGACCACCACAACGAAGCACCTCCTCCGCCTCCGCGTGCGCGTGCTGCCGGCCGCCCTCGGGTGGGGCCCCCGCCGGGGTCCTTGAGCGCGGGCCCGCCGCCGCCACAGCGATCTCGCCGTCGGGCGCCCTCACGAGGCCGCGTGCGGAGCCGCGCTGCGACGCCTGCGGGCGCGGCCCGCAGCCCGCTGGCCAGCGGCCGCACGCTGCAGGGCCGGGTGGGCGGCCCGCTTCCGATTCGGGAGCCTTGAGACGGGGGTCAACGCGAACGAGGGTCAGCCAGGGCACCGGATCCTGCAGGATCCTGCGAAGACCCCCCTTTGGCTGACCCGGGTTAGCGAGCCGCTCGTGGCCGCGAGGGCGGCCGCGCATATTGGCTGACCCGGGTTTGCGAGGACCTGCGTTGCAGTTTTTTTTCTTGCATTGCAGTTTTTTGGTTTCTTGCTGACCCGGGTCTGGATTGACCCGGGTCAGAAGATCCCCGACCGGTCCTGCCACGAGCCAGGCGAGCAGGGCCCCGCCTCAGCCTGGCACCGCGCCTTCAGGGCAGCAGGGCGCCTGCCGTGGGCTGCGTGGCATGCCGCCGTGGGCCCCAGGGCACGGCTCGCGTGCTTCTCCAGATCTTTGGGGCGTCGCGCCGTGGGCAGCCCCCCGCAGCTCATCAACATCCCAAGCACCGTCACCAGCCG